ACGGCTTTGGAGAAGGCCAAGGAGCCCACGCCTCGCTCGAACGTCCCCAAGCCGACGATCTGCAGCGTGGCCAGGCTGCCGCTGTCCCAGACGCGCACGTGCGGCGCCACGGCCTGGCCGGCGAAAGGATTCGTCAGGTGAAGGACGCGGAAGAGGACGGCGGCGACGGAAAGCTACGGCCGAGAGGGGGGGGGGGGGGGGCGCTTCGCGGGGGCCACTCACGGCTTTGGAGAAGGACAAGGAGCCCACGCCTCGCTCGAACGTCCCCAAGCCGACGATCTGCAGCGTGGCCAGGCTGCCGCTGTCCCAGACGCGCACGTGCGGCGCCACGGCCTGGCCGGCGAAAGGATTCGTCAGGTGAAGGACGCGGAAGAGGACGGCGGCGACTGAAAGCTACGGCCGAGAGGGTCTTCTGCGAGAGAACGCGTCCCGACCCCCGAAAACCATTTCTCGGCTCCGAACGGCCCGCGCGACGCGCGGGATGGACCTTTTCCTTCCCGATGTCTTTGTGACAAGAAAAGCCCTTTTCAATCTTTTGCAACCTTGTGGAAGGGCCGCCAAAAAGAAGACAGCCGCACACGGGGTGGGGCGCTGTCTGTCGGAGCGTCATCGCTTCCTGGATGTCACTTGCAAGTCGCTGTCCCCAACTCAATTCAAGCGATCTACTTGCATTCCCCCCAAAAAGTCCGACGCGCTTTTCCTCGTTTTCGGAAAACGTGACCGGACTTGGGCCGCGATGCCGTCGAAGGTTTCGACAGAAAGGAAATCACGCGCATCGGACGACGGCGGATTTGGTCGGCCTCGCTTTTTGCACTTTTGACATCGCGGAGGGCGCCTCGGTAAGGCGCCGCCCTCCCGCGGCATTCGGCGGCTCGACGTTCTCGCCAGAAGACACGGCCGGCCGGGCGGCGCTCTTTTCATTCCCAAAGTGCGGCGTCGGCTCACCCGCCCGTCTTTGTCCACGCCGGCAATTTGCCCCGTGGCGATGCGAATCTCGTCGGGATGAACGGCCAGACTTGCGGCGCCCATGCGAGAGAGACGCAGAGAGCCAAAGAGAGGGAGACGGTTGAGATGAAGCGGGCCGGGCCGAGCGGCGGGCCGGGCCGAGCGGCGGGCATCTCACCACTTGACGCAGTCCGTGTGTCCCAGGTAGTGCTTCTGGGTTCGTTCGTCCGCGTTGAACAGGACCACCACGGAGGCGATGAAGTACACCATCTCTCCGGTGGGAAGCAGGCACACGTTGGCGCGGCAGTCTCGCCCGCGGTAGCCGTAGCTGAAGGCCCGCCGGTCAAGGAAGAGCCGCCGGCCGGTTCCGCCTCGCGCGCGATCCGTGTCGTGAGCTTGCGCGCTTGACGCCCCTGGCTTGCCGACGCTTCTCATCAAAATACCGACGACTACTTTGGATCCCGGGGTCTGCTGCCGCCGTCGACCGCGCTAGCGACTGCCCCGCTGACGTTCTCGGCAGTTACGTGACGCGCGATTGTGAAGGCGCTCGAGAAACGGGCACGCATCGCACCCCCGGGAGAAGAGCCGAGCGCGCAAAGGATACACCCATTCCAGCTTGAGCTTCTCAGAAGGAAGTTCTGTGCGGACGTCGTCGTAGTTTTCCACGTTTGAGGGCACGAACATGGTGATGGGGCGCCCCCGCATGAACATCTTGACGTGGTTTCCCTCTGCGCCGGTCCCAACACACACACACACACACACACACACACACACACACACACACACACACACACACACACACGCGCGAGCGTCAAGCAAAGGCTGCGGCGCAAATCTCAATCGGGGGCCCCAATACTTCCAACACTGAACATCAGTTCCAAAAATGAACCAACGATGGGATGAATTTCAATCAGCGGGTTGCACGCGGATGCGACGGACAAGCTCGCACCAACCGAGGCCAAGCAAATCAAAGTGAGGACGAGGCGGCCACAGAAACACCCGCTCGCGCGAGCTCGCTCGCTCAAGCCAGCCCGCCCGCCCAGGCCAAAACGACGGCGGCACAAACGGGCGCAACATCACACAGAGCGGGCGGTGGCGGCGGCGGCGGAGAGACGCTGAGCGTGGATGCAGAGAGAGGGACGGCGAGAGAGCGCCAGAGAGACCAAGACAAAGATCGGCCCGCCTCGCAAAACGTTAGCATGCCGGAGGGTTAGCTGGTTAGCCCGCTAGCCGGCGCTCAGCACTTACCCGCCTGGCTGTTTTTCTCCCGAGTCGACATTTTGGCCGCTACGAGACAACGACACGGTCACTGAACAAACAACCGACGGCAACGCGCCGCCGCCGCTCAAGCACGCGCGGCCAACAAGACGTGACGTGAGAACGATGAGGATGATGACAGACTTACAGGATATTTGACAAAATCAAGCCATTACCTTGACTCACCGCCGGCTCTTTGTGCCTGCAAGCCAAACGAACAAAGAGCATCAAAGTGTGTGCGTGGGAGCAACATGACAAGTGGCCGCCGTTTTCAATCAATCAGTCAAGCTTTATTTCCAGAGCACTTCTCAGACCTAAACTGTACTGTGCTGTACAGTCAAACAAAAAGAGGACCCCCCCCCCCCACAGCTCTATATCCCCACAAGCAAGCCTACGCTCGCACAAACACCCGCACACAAACATGCACACGTACGCGAATGACCCCGATAGAACGTGGCTTGAAAATCCTCCCCCCCCGTACGCATGCGTTCGTTCGTTCATCTCGACTAGCGTACGTCATCAAAGCACGGAGCCGGCGGGCCGGCTGGGAACGTAGAAAATGCAAAAGCATTTTTGCCGCCCTGCGCTTGAATTCAACAGCTCGTTCAGCGCCGCGCGCGCTTTGGCCAGCCGGGGGCAGCGGAAGACAAGGAGACGGCACAACTCGGGAGTGGCTCTTTGCGGAGGAGAAAGAACCGATGCCAAAGTGGCCACCGTCTTGGTGGGAATTTCACATTTTCGGAAAAAAAAAATGGAAGGAGCACCTCAGAAGAACAACGACTGCGCCGCTTTTCTAACGCCCTCCAAGCCGTTTCAAAGGCCGCGGTCCTTCCGACGCGTCGACTCGGAAGACGTCCGGAAAGCGGCTCGCTGAAGCCGAGCGGAAAAGGGCTCCCGGGAGAAGAAAGCAAAGCCTTCGGGAGATACGCCGAGCGCGAAATGAGCTCGATCCTTCGGCTCATTTGAAGGCTGACCTCCAGGTGAGATCAGGGGAAAGGGGCCTCCCCAACGAGGCCGTCTTTTCCCACGTTCTTCAACGGGACCGATGATGTCTCCTCGGGTTCGCTTTGTCGGACGGGGCAATCGACAAGAGCTTCTCCGTTTCAAAGGTGCCCTGGAGGCAATTCAAAGCGCCGCCGCGTCGTTCCCAAGGACGCTTGGGCGGCGCGCGCGCGGAGCCGAGACCCAAAACGCCAGACCCGCTCGGCCGTCTCAACCGCGGCCGCCCCGAACCATCCAAACGACAACAACGTCGGCACGAAAGCCACCGTGGCCGTTTTCCAAGAGCAAGCGCTTATTTTTCCGCCGATCCGACCGTCGGGGGGTGCGGGGAAACACAAAAAGCAAAGTATTGGCCGGCCTCGCGGCGCAGCGCGCCGCGGCGCACGTACCTGTCAGCATTTTTCACCACTTTGGCAAGCAGTTTGGAGGTGGACGCCGCTTTGACCAACTTGCTGCGGTTGTCATCGGACGTGTCCCAGGTGCTGCTCTGGGAACGCTCCACGCCGGCGGAGCGCCTCGGAGCCCTGACACACACGCACGCACACTTTCGGTGAGGGACGAGAGGAGCGCTCGATGCCGAGGGGCGGACGGGGCCCGCCGGAGGGCGGTGAGCGAGCGCCGGCGACGAGCATCGGAAAGGACCACCTCCAAAGACCGGGGTTAGGGTTAGAGAGCGAGCGCCCCCGGCCGGCCGGGCCGCCGGGTCAAGGCGGAGATGGCTGAAGCGAAACCTGGCCAGCCGCCGACTGGCCTGAGCCAAAAAAACAAAACAATCAAATGCGGTGCTTGTATTGCGAGATTTGAGCTTGATGCGCGCGCGCACACGTCGGCAGTGCAAGTAAGGCGGCGAGCGGCGCGACAACCTTCATCCGCAATGGATTTTGTGACTTTCCGTCTCCTCCGGCGAGTATTTTTCAAGAATGAGAGCGATGAGGGTGCCGCGACAAGGATCGGCTCCCATCAGTCACCGAGCGCTGCTCAAAACGTTTTCATCGGAAAGAAGAGACAAAAAATGACGGGCGCCCGCCGTGGAAAAATCAATCGATCAAAGAACGCTAATTGGATCCATTCTCTATTTCCCCCCAATGACTGCTTCTTCAGCTATTCTTGTTGTGGATTTGATGCTTTGGGATTTCAAACAACAACATCGAAGCACCAATGACGACGTCAAATCACACGAGCGACTGACGTGACGCTCGCCGGCTCGGCTTGTTGAAACCGCTCGCCATGGTTTGGCGATGTCACAGCAGGCGTGAGCAAATGTCTCGTTTGACGATCAACGGGTCCGCCTCGATGGGCGATCGGAGAGCAATGACCCTCGAGAGGCTGAAACGAGACCACCCGGACAAGTTGCGGTCGCGATTCATCTGTCACGGGATCGCCGTCTTCTGACACACGGAAGCCAAGGCCATTCCAATGGAGGGGGCGCTACGTTGGAACCATTGACGGCGTCCGAGCGGCGATCCCGAAAGCCTTTGGACGCTTCTCGGATGAGCGCGCCGCATCCAAAAGCCTCCGCAGTCGCGCCTCGAGACTCCGACTCCATTGATTCGACAAGCACTCGTCAAAACGGCTCCTCTCTGCAATCGACGGCCGCGGTCAAAGCGACACGTCTTGTGTCGTTCCCCCTCGCGCGAAGGGGAAAAGCCACCAATCGCTCCCAGCCTCCAACATCGACCATTTGGATTTGGCCCGCGGTCGCCGACCCGCAATGTCGACCGAATACCAGCACGGCCGGCAAGTGCCCAGCGGGAGAGAAAGCGCGGCAGAGGGGGGGCATGCGGTCAGTGAGCCCGAAGCGGGCCGAGGTGAGGCTCCGACGGCGCTGAAGGGGAGGAGCCACAGGGGAAAGGAGGGCGGGGTGCCGTGAGAGGGGGAGGAGTCAGGAAGGTTAGGAGCGGCGCGGTCTTCTCGGGGCGGGCCGGCCGAGCGGCGGGCGAGCTCGGGCGGAAAGGGGGCGCACCTGTTGGGGGCCGCCTGGCTTTTACCCGCGTCGCCAGGCTGGGCTCTCTGCGGACCCGGGGGATTGCGGGGGGCCGCGGGGGAGGGGGCGGCTTCCTCCCGTCGGTGGAGCTCCTCCGAGGGACATCTCCGGACGCCCGGCGCCTCCTTTCTGGGATCCGCCGCCGCTCCGCTGCGAACACGCACACAGCTGCGGCTTCATTGCGGCCGTCGCGCGTCGACCGGACTCGACTTTGCCCTCGCGCCTTCTCGCGTCTCCTTCGGACGCGAGCCTCCCGACCGAGTTGGCGCAAGCCAACGGCGGTTCGGGACGTGCGCAAAAGAGACCCCGCTCACGAAAGCAAGTCACGGCCGAACGACGGAGGCGAGAGTCGACGGCCGCTTCTCTGGCGCGCCGCTCCCGGACCGCGTTCCCCGACGAGCGGCCGGCTCGACGGTCGTTGGCGGCTTACCTCTTGGCGGCCGAGGAGACGGTTTCCTTCCTGGTGATGGCGGCGGAGTCTCTCTTTCGACCAGGTGTTGCTCCGTTGCTGATGCACGAGTTGGAAGAGGCTCCACCTGAAGGACGAGCGTCGGGAGTCAGGAGCCAAAGAAGACCGCCGCGGGGACGTTTGCGGAGAGCAAGCGGCCATCAAAAGTGCAACCTTCATGCTTGGAAATGCTGTCGCCCCCCCCCCCCTTCCACCTCAACGTGCGCGAGTACAAAAATGTTTTCATGCTCCGACCGGGACATGCGGCGAAGGTGCTCCGCCTGTCAGTCAGACTCCACTCGGATGGTGGACCGCCTTCCCGGAGCACGTCAAGGTACCTTGGCGCCATCTAGCGGTGACCTCACAAAATGCAACGACCTCAGCTCGAACGTCGCTGCCCCAGACCTCGCGCCTCTCCTTGGTGTATCTGCGGGGGTCGGGAACTACCGCCGTTTTCCATCAACGCAGCCGATTCAAACGACGGGCTTGTCGTCAAGCGCCGGAGAAGCCCGAAGCCATCCCCATCAATTTGACATCAACGTTTGACAAAGTAGCGCGCTCCTTTTCTCGCAAACGTCACAGCGACGGCAAAACGTCGCCGCCGGTCTCGACCTGAGCCGAAATAAAGCAAAGTACCTTTTCCTCCCCGCGGTTTCTTGACGTCTTCCGAAGACGCCAAACGGCGAAGAACGTCGGCCAGCGCCGCTTTCATCACCGTCACTTCGTCTTCTTGCTGCTGCACACGAAGCTCCAGCGCGCAAAGGCGCTCGTTGACGTCCGACGCGCTGACGCCCGACATGCTGTCGTCTGCCAACAGCGCAAAGACCTTTGCTGAAATGCCAAATGAGTTCGGAGAGCAAAAAACAAGAGCGAGAAAAAGCCACCCGAAGCGCGTTCCGCCACCGACGCCATCTCAAACCCGTACGCGTCCGCGGAGAAACGACAGAATAAGTCAACATGCCAGGCAACGAGCTCGCAAACGTGGGCGCCGGGGTTTCGACGCTTTCCCATTTCTCATCCCGCTCCGTTTTTTTTTTTCATTGAGCAAATGCAGTCGGCTCGAAGGAGTTTTTCGAGCGGCTCGGCGTCGCGCCGCTTCGGGGTAAGCGACGGGCGCAAAGTCAACTCCGATTGCCCAACGACTGTTGCGCCTTCCCCGCCCGCGTACGCCCGCACGACTGTCAAAAGAAAGCGTCCGCGCCAAAGTCAACGGCATTTTTTGACATCAAGCCCCAGAGCTCATGCGTGTCATTTGTTGACTTTCACTTCACTTGTCGTTATTCAGTGACTGAGCGGTGGACTCAAGTTACAGGCTAAACCAGGAAGTCAACCACTCAATTTGTTTGGGCGCTTTCGACAACGCCTACTCGAAATGCTGGCGGCAGTTGCACTTCCACCCACAATTCACTGCATATTTGACCAAAAGAGCGGCAAACTGTCGAAACGGGTGGAACTCCTCTGCTGGAAAAAAAAAAAAAAAAAAGTACAAATATTGAGATCTGACATCATTTACAACTTCCATCTGTGGGATTTCAGTCCATGTTTTCAAGCCACGCACGTATTTCTAAAGTCCTCTCCGTATTTTGTCCGAGTGTCGTCGCCAAACTTGGCCACCCCCTGCGGCGCAGATGAAAGTCATTTCATTTGTGCCGCACGTTGCACGTAGAGCACATTCGACAATAAAGCTCGACTTGACTTGATCAAGTCGCTCCTGCCGTTGGGAAGGAGAAAAAAAAAAATGGCCGAAGGGCGATGCACCTCCAATGCAACCACGGAGAAAGATGGCTGAAGATTTACAGCACATGGAGAGACTGACGGATGAAAAGAGATTCGAGGAGGGACCGGGCGTCATCGGTGGGTGGAATATACGTCACCGATTGGATGAGAAGGACCACGATAGTGAGAGGACACGCTCTCCGCTTCTTGTCTTACACGCTTGAATATTTTGCTTTTCATTTTGTCGTCATTAAAACGGTCAACCGAAGTCCAATTTCGGGATCAACGTGAGGTCAGGCCAGAATGGAAAGAAGATTGATCTTGAGTACTGTCAAAATGATCTTCTCACCTTGCCTGAATTGGACGGGACAGAATTAAAATGTGTTCAAAAAGTGTACTGACACCGTCTGGCGCCAAGGCCGCACACTCCTAGCGGAGGAAATAAGAACCGGTTCCGAGCGGCAGGCGGCGTTAGCGCAAACACCTTCGGGGCGAAAAAGAAAATGTCAGGAATGCGCCGAACAATACAACAATGGAGACGTTTCAGTTCAGTCCAAATCAAAGGCGGCAGACAAGGCAGCGGCACCTGCCAAGATGAGTTGGAATGTGATCGCTTCATGCGGAATTCATTTTTCTTGCCCCTCTCAAAAACGATCACTTTTCTTTGCACTTCGGTTGTACAGAACAGTAGTTGGGCCTTTTCAACCAAGGTGTGTCGACTTTTGCTATCCGCCGCACAAAATCAAACCCTCGATGTGCTGTCAGTGACATGCAAACACAGCGGCCAGCAGTCGTAACATTTCCTGTTCGGCTTATGTCAGAACAGCGCGAAGACACCGAACGAACACTCAATACGGACGGGACGACGCGACGGGGCCGCCGCCAGAGCCACCGGGACACCAGATCGGGATCCATGGATCCGATCTGCTTGGCAGAAGCGAGACGTCGAATGTACACACGCGACGTCTTGGAAACGCATCACGTCAGCTTTCGACGGACGACCCACCAAAAGGTCAAAAGAGCAACTCGTTCGCGCCGACGCCATCATCCGTGGCGTTTATGACCCGCGACCGGAAGACGCGCTCGTTTTGTTCCACGGCAGCGGCTCGGGGGAAGGCCCGCGCGGAGCCTCGGTGACACGTGGAAAGACGCGCGCGCTCAGGCCCGCCGATTCCGACACGCGAGAGCGACCTTTGACCCGCGGACTCACCCAAACTGCCGCCGCCGCCGCCGAACGCGTCCATCTCCGCTCAGGCGACGTCGGAGGCCCGAGGGAGGCCCGGCCTGACCCAGCCTGGCCCGGCGGACCTGCGTTCCGACCGGGAAAAGCGAACGCCGATGCCTTCCGCTTTCCGCTTTGCTCTTTCCGCTCGCGTTTCCAGGGCGGGCGGGCCGCGGTCCTCTGCGTTCTCCGCGACGCGGGGCACGACGAGTCTCTCCCGGAGTCTCGCGCGCGCGTTACGGCCGCTGAGGACGCCGAGACGGGAAGGAAGGAAGGAAGGAGTCAAGTCAGCGACGAAGCCAAAGTGACAGAACCGAGGGACGGTTACACACGCGCTCCCTTCCGTCTCTGCCCGCGCACTTCGAGGGAGGTTGGGGGGCGGGGGAGGTTCCGCCTCAAAACGGACGTGGCTCTTTCGGCGGTGGCGCCCCCTGTTGGTTCAATTCAAATTACAGTCTTGGAGCTGGGCTACGGAATCTGATTTGTGCCAAACAAGAATCGTACAAAACGTGTTGGAGCGCAAAAAAAAAGAAGAACAATCGAACAAACGCTTTTAAAGTACAAACAACAAACAAACGATCAAGAAAGACGTGATGAAGTTGAGAGCATTGTGTCATGATTATGCTCTCAATTGAAAACATTTTAGTTTGTGCTTCCAGCCTTTCCTCTCTCGACATGGGTGGGCGGGCCGCAGGAGGAATCCGTTCTCATTGGCTGATTAATTTTTGACTGACAGTTCAGTGACCCAGAGGGAGTAGCCGAGCAACTTCTCCTCACATAATGGGGGACAAATAAAGGTTATCTTATCTTATAAGCGGTTTCGGGCAGGAGGCAGGGGACACGCCGAACTGGTTGCCGCCTCGCCTCAGGGCACACACAGACAAACAACCGTTCACGCTCACGGTCGCACCTCGGGACAACTTAAGAGTGTTCCATTAAGTTACCGTGCGCGTTTATGGACTGTGGGAGGAAAGCGGAGTACCCGGAAAAAAGCCACGCAGGCACGGGCGGAACGCACAAATTCCAACGGGAAGGCCGGAGCCGGAATCAAACGCCACCCCTCGGCGCTGTGAGACGGGCGCGCTAACCAGTCCGCCACCGCGCCGCCCCCAGACAGAGTAGACGGCTCGATTTGCGTCTGAGGTTCCTTGCGGCGGTAATCGATCACAAGCGCCTTCTCGACCCTGGATCGAAGCATTCGACTCTATTGAGGAACATTTTACAAGCTAGTGTGTGTTTTTTCCAAGGAAATTCACAGTTCCGTTCCCTCAGGAATGAATGTCTCTCGGGATACCAGGCAGGGATGCGACATTGGGGCAAACACGGAGAAGCCTTTTTTTTTTTTTAGGGGTCGGGGTGTGTGAAATGTGCAAGTCGCACTTCTCCGGACCCGGCGGTGCAACTGTACGCCACCAACACTGAGGGATCGCCACCGTCCGGACAAAGTCGTGCAAAACGCCAAAGCAAGACGGCCGGCCGGTGGCTTCGATTCTTGAGCGGTCCGTTCGCGTAGAAATCCTTGCCCGAGCTGGCTTGGAACAAGCATCATATTTATTTGGAATAATAGTCACTCTCTTTTCATTTGGGTCGATGCCGGTCATCAGGAAAATAGAAACGAACTCCGCCTCCTCCCACAGCGAGGAACGGAAATGTGAAATAACTGCCACAATGTCACCCTATTGCAGCATTCAAAGCGGCGCATTTGCGTTCAAAACAAAAGGCGACTCGGTGCCCGCTTCAGCCCAACACGGCACGACACCACGACGACACCGAACGCGCGACAATAAAACGATCGGCCGAGCCCGTTTCTCTGTCACTCCTGTTCCGGAGATGTTACACGATTGTCACGGTTCTCCTGTCACGAGGTGCACATATCAAACGGTGAGATTGGGATCGCGCTCCATCCCGAGTCACGGCACAACGCTTTGCGGGTAACCAGACTTCACTCGGAAGCAGAAAGCGCGTCGAAAAAGTGGCTTTAATATGCGCAACAGGTTCACATTGAGCCACAGGGCGGAGCTTCAGGAATCCAGTGTGTCAAAGCAACAGGTCACGTCGGGTCACGCCGGCCCTTGGCTTGGCTTGGAAGGATGTCGCTCATCCGAGTGACCTCAGTCGGCTTTTTTGCTAACGTGACTTGAGTCTGCCGCCGCATACCGCGACAGCTGCGGCGAGAAGGCGCGAAAAGGCTCGAGCGGTCATCGCCGTCCATCGCCATCAAGCTCGCGGGGGAGAACCAGCCGCCGCCGCAATCAGTAAGAGGATCGGACCTTTTGAATGTCGGAGATGAGCGACCTGGCCAGGTAGATGCCCACCATCTGACAGACAGCACACGGACGTGACACCTTAGCATACTCAAGACCACTTTTGGACACATTTTTCACTTGTTTCTTGTGACCGCTGACTGGTTTACTTTCAGAGGCTTTTGTCGACACACACACACACACACGGTCACGTCGGGTCACGCCGGCCCTTGGCTTGGCTTGGAAGGATGTCGCTCATCCGAGTGACCTCAGTCGGCTTTTTTGCTAACGTGACTTGAGTCTGCCGCCGCATACCGCGACAGCTGCGGCGAGAAGGCGCGAAAAGGCTCGAGCGGTCATCGCCGTCCATCGCCATCAAGCTCGCGGGGGAGAACCAGCCGCCGCCGCAATCAGTAAGAGGATCGGACCTTTTGAATGTCGGAGATGAGCGACCTGGCCAGGTAGATGCCCACCATCTGACAGACAGCACACGGACGTGACACCTTAGCATACTCAAGACCACTTTTGGACACATTTTTCACTTGTTTCTTGTGACCGCTGACTGGTTTACTTTCAGAGGCTTTTGTCGACACACACACACACACACGCACACACACACACGCACACACACATAGCTCAAGTGAACATAAATTTGCACGGTTTGGCATTTCTGAAATGCTGCGTTCCATTTCCGCCAGCTCTAAGAAGGCACCCCGGAGCCTTCCAGAAAGTTCAACTTTGGTCTGGAGAAAATGGAGCCAAATTCTTTCTTCATTTTGTCAGAGGGGTTCCATTGACAGGATTTGGGGCGTGGACAGATTGTGTTTGATGAGCTTAAAGAATGGAGAAAAAAAATGCGCGCGCGCGTGCGTTTGAACACAGACAGACAAAAGGTTGACTTTGCGACGCTCGCACCTGCAGCAGCGAGATGACGACAAAGACGATGGCCAGCGTGTACAGATTTGCGGGTAACCAGTCTTCCAGCGCGGCGATGCAGCCTTTCACGTAGATGTGATCCGGCCACTCGGCCTGAAATCCACGACGACATTTGACACGACGGCCACAAAGGTCAACAAAACAGGAAGCCGCGTCGCCGCCGATTTTCCGGACGGCCAGCGGACCGCGGCGCCGGTCTCGGAAGACGACCTTTGGCCTCTGGCCACGCGCCGACCGCGAGAATCGAGGCGAGCGCCGGAGTCCGATTTGCCGCGAGAAGCGTCGCTGGCCTCACCTTGGCTTTCGTTCTCACGTCGTAGCCGCACTGCGTATTCAACACCGAGTCCTGCGGAGCACACGAGCGCGCACGTTTGAGTCGAAGGCGAGCCCGCGCGGCGGGCAATCGCCGGCCCACTCACGGCGGGGTCGGCGACGCAGCAGGAGAACGGAACGCCGCACTTCTCTCTGCTCCGATGCGTCCCGTCGCAGCTGAAGTAAACGTTGACGTCCCAG